TCCTGCTGGCAGCTCCGGCTGGGCAGGGACGGGGCGAGAGACACTGCTGATGTGCCTCCGTATTTTCACTGGGGTCTGCATGGAGAATCGACTGGCCCTTGACACTCCCCGATGAGCTGAGGTCACAGTACTGAGCATGCAGGATGTGGAGAAGACACTGTGCTATCCACAGTGGGAGTTGCTGCCCCACCCGTCCTCCACAGCAAAAGCACAGTCTGGGGAGTCAGGCACAATGCAGCTGAAGAGGAGGAGGTGGCGACAGAGACTCCCATTACCACCTGGACAGCGACTGCCCTCCCTCTTGGAGAGACTCCATTGCTTCTGCGAGGTTTACTCTGTGCAAAGCGGCCAATAAATGATGCGTTTGAACAAAGGTTGCGGCTGTGAGTCTCTCTGCATCACTTTGTTGGGGAACGCCAGCACAGGGTGCTGACTGCTCAGCTTCCATAGTGTCAGGGAGCATTTTTCAGAAGAGCTGGTGCAGTGGGCTCAGGGTTCACTCATTCTGTAACTAAGGCTCCCCCACCTGTCCGTGCTCCTGCATTGGGGCAGTCGGAAGAATTTGTCCCCCGCCACAACTGTCAATTCTCTCTGCATCACTTTGTTGGGGAACGCCAGCACAGGGTGCTGACTGCTCAGCTTCCATAGTGTCAGGGAGCATTTTTCAGAAGAGCTGGTGCAGTGGGCTCAGGGTTCACTCATTCTGTAACTAAGGCTCCCCCACCTGTCCGTGCTCCTGCATTGGGGCAGTCGGAAGAATTTGTCCCCCGCCACAACTGTCAATGTTGCCTGTGTGCCGTAGGGAGCCTGAAGCGGCTTCCTTGGGATCCATACGCAAACCAAGCCCTGGGAGCCGGAGAGCATTGTCCTTGGGCGACCCCAGTGAGGTGGGTATCACGCTGTGCGAGTGGGGAACCCTTTGCACAGGGGACAAGTGCCACAACTGCGGAGCGGGGCTCTGGCTCCTGTACGAACATGAGACTCATTCACCGTGGCCTCTCGTGACCGGCAAGCTCAGGTTCCCACTGACGTGCGGAAACAAACTCTACAACTCACGGAGAGTTATAAAGCAGGCATGTTTACTATGGCGCCGGGTGCAAGGGGGATCGCTCCTCCAAACTTGCACACCGAGTAAAATAAAGATACATATTATATACCATGAAACATTTACATATTCATAGTT